AGTTTCTGAGCTTTCTTTGATATTTCTAGACATTGATAGAAACTTATAGTAGTCATTTCTATTTTGTATAGAAAGACTGCCTTTTGTAGTTCTTTGCTTAATAAACTATAAACACGTATAGAAATAACCTTCTGCTTGTTTTGTAAGTTCCTTCAATAGTGAATAAGATTGAATGGTTTTAAATAATTCAATTTCAAATTTTTTATTACTATTATGAAACAAACCTATTAACATATAAAAATTTTTTTATAAGCTATCGGCATTTTAATATAGCAATTAATAAATTTTATAAGTGTTAGGTTAAAATCAAAAAAAAAAATAAAAATAAATTTTATAAGTGTCAAACTTACCTAATAAACCATTCATTCATTCATAACTAAAACACCAGAATGCATACATTGGTCTGTAGTCATTTACGCATTCACAAATATGTAAACATAAATGTAAATTAAACGTTATTTTTTTAGGTCCATATTTTTTTTCAATAAGCTTCACCATATTTAAAAAACACCAATGAGCTTCTTTTAACTTGTCTTTAGATAAAATTCAGCATACTAAAATTGAACATGCTCTGACAAAATAGGTTAAAATTCTTCAGTCATCCTCTTTCAGTAAATCCCAAGTAATCGAAGTTGCATAGATTAATATAAACATCTTCCATTAGTTTGCTGTAAAACCAGAGAAACTATCTCCCATAGCAATCTTGTTTGAGATTCTACCAAGATCTAATAGAACTTCAATTTTTTTTGCCTGTTGTTCCATTAGTATTAAATCTTAAGAAGATAAGATGTCTTTTTCGATTCATAGTTTCATAATCCATTTAGCAATGCCTAAAAATAGGCAATGCATTGGATCTATTATAGTAAACCGGGAAGAGTTAAAGTATAGGAGATGGTATATTTCAGACCACCAGACAGATGTTTTAGAATTATGTTTTTTCCGTGCATCTTTTGTATGGCAATTTTTTCATAAAATTGCATCTTGACGAATTATATCGATATTTCTCTCAACAAACCATTCACTCATATCAGCAAATCCACCACGTTCAGCAGATTTCTGTCATCAAAATTAGTTCTCTTCATGCATCTGTAACAAGCAATTTAAGCCGATATAAAGCCACACAATTTTCTTGCAGTGGGTATATCGCAAGAACAACAAATTACTGCAACTCTGATGAATTTACCGATAGAGCTTTCAAAAGTTCTTTCTAGTTCGATCCCTAATCATGTGATAATTAATATATAAATGAAAAAATAATTAAGCAAATATTACAATTGCTTATACTTACCATCCCACAAACCAATCAATTGATCCATTATGGGCGCTAGATAATGATTTAATTAATGCAATTTAGGTTCATTTGGACCTGGTATTAATACTAAAGTCAATATGTTTGATGGCTTGAATCGCTCATCACGTGAAAGGTTGCAAATTACATCATAAATTGCACCGATGCCATATTGAGAGTTTTGGAATGGTTGAAACCAATCAAGGTTAATCATTAAGCCCAAATGACTATCCGATAGCTCTTTACGGAAGAATGGTAAATCTTCTTCTGGATCTTAAAAAGTTTTCCAGATTCTTCCATCATATATATCAGATAGTTGTTCAGGGTCGTCACATCTATCGGCCCATTTTCTACAAGATTCTTCAAATCCTTTCTTATTGAACAACGACTGCAATTGATGACTTAAGGAGGCTATCGGATAAATTGACGATGGTTTGTATATATCACCTTTTGATGTTGAAATTTTTTTAGCAATTAGATAATTGCATAAAAATCTTTGATTGGCCATCGGATAGTTAGAAAATTCCTGATAAATACAATGATTAATTTTAGGGACCAAATTTAGTTTGTTAAAAGACAGGTCGGCAACATTATACAATTTACAACATTTTTCACATGTTGCATATTTTATCATGTGAGTGCAGACACCAAGAGCATTGCGTGCTTTACTCAACGATGTAGGGAAAAGAGAACATGTATTCACATCAAAATGGTTCAGAAGATACCGAATTAGTTTCATAAATGAATTAGAAGCCACATCAGACAACCGATATCTTTTCTGGTGTTTAAGAATCTATAAGGCGACCCACATAAAATTATTATTGATATCTATGGATTCTTTTTGATTAATGTTTTCAAACATTATTGCTGGTGCATTAAAATCTATCTCTTGATCGAATAGATCTTCATCTTTATCGGAAGAAATTTCACTAAAATCTTCAACTTCTTCTTCCGAGAATAAAATATTGGCAATTTCAATAGGTAATGCGATACTGATCCTTCCCCCACCAATTGGTTTTTTGCCTTGTTTTTTAGGAATGAAACTATAATTCCCAGAGCGTGTAGATATTACAGAATCATTATCAGAACTATCGATCTGCATAGGTTCCTCCGAAACATCAACTTCAGGAAAGTCCATTTTGGGAAGATTTATAATAATATTTGGAGCAGTAATAGGATTTGTTCTGCTTGTTGAAGGTTCAACAATGTCATTGATTTGTCTTGTTATAGTATTTCTTGGTTTCATATGGGCTGTTTTGGTTCTTGGGTCAACAAGACAGCCTTTGCAAATATTACAATAACAAGATACAGGGCGGCGAGTGTCTGAATACTTTTGGTAGTTGGATTTTTCAATTGTTTTTTTAATAATTGAACTTTTTTTTTTGTAGCCCATAATATATATGAACAAAAATATGTGGACCAGAAAAAATATATGAGTGAAGGTTATAGGCGCGTATGAATATATATGAAATGAAATATGAGTAAAAGAACAAGCGATATAATCTATGAACGAAAGGTATAAGCAAGAAATAGACAGGAGAGAATAATGAAAGAGAATAATAGTTTCTAATTTAATAAAAGTAAGCTTTATTTATATGCAATCCGATTTTTTCAAAGACATATCGAAATGCCGATATGCCTTATTGACTCTTTATTTTGACGATTATACTTTTTGTTTTGACAATTATACTGACAAATATACTTTTTATTTTGCCAATTAAATTTTCACTTTTATTATTTTTCTATCGGAATGTATTTAGTACTTACTATCAGAACGTAAACTCTTTGTTTTTGCCAATTATACCTTTTGTTTTGCTAATTAGACTTTATCGGTTTTTGAATCATTAAAACATCGGTATGCCGATAGGTCTTTTTGCTTTTGCCGATAGTTATACCTTTGTTTTTTGAAAATTATACTTTTTGTTTTGATGATTAAACTTGATCAGCTTTTAAATCTATTCGAACTATCAGTATGCTGATAGGTCTTCTGTATATTTTAATGAACAAATTTGACTACGCAATTAATGATTAATCAATAGTTTTTTGTATAACTATAAAACTTATTCATAATCAATATATTTAATGTATTGTAATAAAATAAAAATAAAGCTATCGGTATTCGGGGTTTTTTTTAATACAACTTGCATAATATACATTTTAATTTCTATACATAGATCATGCAATATCATGCAAGTTATGCAAGTTATGCAAGTCCGATTATATTCTATTTTTTAACTCAGAAGACAATTATCCAAAAATTAGATCTGACTAAAATCTATTAATAAGTCACACTTTTTTTTTATGTTTACAATAACTGATTTAACTCTTTCATTTTATGTAATATATTATACTTTCTTTTAAATACACGTTAGCAGATTTATTCTTTCACGTCATAATATATCATACTTTTATTTAAGCTACATTAGTTGATATACTTTTTGCTTCGTTTATATTCTATTTAAAAGTAACTATTATATCGTCATTCAATAATTAAGTATAACAGTATTATATATTTAGTCTAAGGTGAATTATATATAAGAAATGATTTTTTTTCTTCTTTCTTTTCTTTAAATAAAACTATCGAACAAACGATATCACTAAACAAAAACCTTTTTGACATTTTTGGTTATACATTTTTATACTTATTTCTTTTTGGAAAAATGCAAGGCAGAAGACCTTTTAAAATAAGTACTGGAGGTGTGACGACTTAGAGTAGTGGTTAAGTTGTCACCCCCCAAGCAGCAGGTCTAGAGTTCGAATCCCACTGGAGACGTTTTTAGAAAAATAGGCCTGTGTTCCGGTAACAATTATTCATCGATCGGTTGGGTATATTACCTGTAATCTTGGTACTACCATCTCGTAATGGAAGCTCTTGGGCGATTCAAATCCAAGGAACCGGAATAATTGAAACCCGTTTGGCAAGACCCGAGTAAGGAGGTAGTGAAGATCTTCGACAATACTGCGGAAAAGTTGGAAACTGGAGACCGAAGAACCGGACGAAAACCCTGGGGCAAGAAGGGTCCACCAACCTGGCCGCCGGAGTCACACCGGAGGAAAAGGTCCTATGCTATGGAATTAGGAACCAAGGGAAGTAAAACCGAAAGGCACTTAAAGCCTAGGTACAACGACCCGTCCGGGCTAACTGGTTTGGTAGTTGGGGAGGGATCGATATAAGGGCCGGCTTGATGTGGGTATCGGGATTGGAACGAACCTTGCAAGAGCACCGGATACTGGAATTGTGCGGTTTAATGGTTCGCCCTGACTGCTAGTGGTGGTTTCGGCTGCTGCAGAAGGTATTCGTAGCCTAATCTGGAAGTGTGTGGGACATAGAAAGATTAGGGAGGTATGTACTACACCCTCCCTAGGGCAACCCGGTAGTATAAGAACCCTACTGGGTTATCTATAGAATTAGGGTGCAAGTAGTATAGCAGATGTCGATCTGGGTGGTCTTCAATAAGAAGCAGCACGAGGTTATGGATTGGTGTGATTGTGGTGGTGGCACAGGACGGGGGACATCAGAGGGTTTAAATATGTAATCTCCTAGTTAGGTTACAGGTATGACATATAGTGTAGAACCTTCGGGCGGGCTACTTAAATTAGGCGACCAAAAGTTGCACGTGTGGCTATATGTACTCTCGCTAACCAAAAATGTACTACTAAAAATACCTAATAAAATCCACCCTTCCGCGACATTGCGAAGGTATAAAAAAAAAAAAAAAAAAAATAAGTACTGTACGCTATCGTCGATCTATTTCACCTTCCATGTCATCAAATCGCAGTTATCGTTCAAGCCAAAGCCGTGACCGCTCTACAACTCCTCGCAGTGTTCGTTCAAGCCGCAACCTTTTTCAACTCCTACCCGATCAAACCGAAACAATCGTTAATCTGAAAGCCGCAAGCGAAGGTCTAGGTCTAGGTCTAGATCTAGATCCCCGACAAACGATAGAAATAATAAATGTTCCAAGTGCCGTTCTAGTTCACGAGATAAAAATGATGAAGGTGAAATAAGGCTATATGATGTTTTTTATACTTTACAGAAACTTGCGAATAAGCAATATTAATACTATTTACAATTAATTTAATTTCGTGAGTTTCAGTAAAGTTTCTTTTTTTTTATAAAACTATTGATTTACCGATAGGTCTAACAAATTATTTTATAATCCTAGTAATAAGTTTTTTGACAAACACAGTTCATACTTTACTTAACGAAGTAAAAGAGTTAAAAAAGTCATCTCAACCCCTACATCAAGCACACCCCTTACACCAAGCGACCAATATGATTATGGTTATGGTAATGCCAATAATTATATAAGTGATGAAGGAATTGGACCCAGTGGTACTACTGGTCTTTCACAACCATTAAATAATTGCAATCTAATAGACTTAGAGGATGAAATGAATAATTTTCGTCCCTCTAGCACCAAAATCGGCACCAACACCAGCACCAACACCGGCACCAACACCAGCACCAAAACTGGCACCAACACCAGCACCAACACCAGCACCAAAACCGGCACCAACACGGCACCAACACCAGCACCAACACCAACACCAGCACCAAAACCGGCACCAACACCGGTTCCAACACCAACACCGTCACCAACACTACAAGCAATAATAATAACAAAAGCAAACAGCAACGTAATGATAATAACCGTCAAAACGCATCAGTATCTCCTGAACCACCTGGCGGCTATCCTAAAAGGCCACATGAGATTTTGGAAGATATGGATGATGAGCAGTATAAATTGTTTCATGTATGTAACAAATGAATATTGGAGAAATAACAGAGCTATCGGTTTAATTGATATTTATTTTAATGTGTAGGATGAAGTTATTCAAATATTAAGTGGCCTTGACGATTTGTTGCGTTTGGATCATACCAAAAAATGGTTCAAAATATCTCGTCACGTGTCTAAGAATATTATGCCCACTGTTAGTAAAGCCTTGGAGGGCAATTTTAGATTTAAATTGAGTGAATTAAATCATGTCCTCAAAAACCTTCATCGACATCGACACGAATTATGGAAAATTAAACAAGACCCCGAAAAATTTATATTGAATAAAAAAAGAATAGGGGTAAATAGAAGGTGTCAAGAAGTAAGTATAGTCTATTTAACTTCTTACTAATAACAAATAACTTTGGAATTTTATACAAAATTGTATTATATTTGTATTATATTAACTATGGTTAATATTACAAATATAATATAAATTTATTTTTATATTTGTTATTTTGCTAGATAAGTAACTAAATAGGTCTATTATACTTTTTTTATTTTAATAACAATACCGATCTACCGATATTAATTATAAATCACCTATACATTTTATAGAAAACAAACAGACGTATCAGAGGCATTGATCATTTGGTTAATGCCAAAGATAAGAACCTTGTTGCTCTTTCCCCAACAATGAGTTAGGACGATTTTAAAGCTGACCTTGAATTCATTATTAATATCGATGGCTACCACTCGGACAAATTTTTTGAAACAGATATAGAAAGGGCACAATCGGAACGCCAATTGAAAATTCATCCTAAAAACAAAGAGGCTAGTGATAATTATGTGCTTCGTGTAAAGGATAAACCATTGAGATCCCAGAGGGTAAGCAATTATAATAAATGTTATAATTATTGTCGCGGCTGATGCTGGAAACGGCTGAAGCTGGAAATCAGGAACCCTGATTTAAAAATATAAACCCTGCCAAAATCCACTTATACTCTTTCATTATAAAAACTAACCCTAAATCCTAAT